AAAAGTAAGGCTATAGCCTTAACTTTTCGTCCATTTTTAGCCACTTATGTCATTTTTCATAAGTGGGCCAAAAACAGCAAAAAAGTAAGGCTATAGCCTTAACTTTTCGTCCATTTTCAGCCACTTATGTCATTTTTCATAAGTGAGCAAAAAACAGCAAAAAAGTAAGGCTATAGCCTTAACTTTTCGTCCATTTTTAGGTACTTATGTCATTTTGCACAAGTGGGCCAAAAAGAGCAAAAAAGTAAGGCTATAGCCTTAACTTTTCGTCCATTTTTAGCCACTTATGTCATTTTTCATAAGTGGGCCAAAAACAGCAAAAAAGTAAGGCTATAGCCTTAACTTTTCGTCCATTTTTAGCCACTTATGTCGTTTTTCATAAGTGGGCAAAAAACAGCAAAAAAGTAAGGCTATAGCCTTAACTTTTCGTCCATTTATAGCTACTTATGTCATTTTTCATAAGTGGGCCAAAAACAGCAAAAAAGTAAGGCTATAGCCTTAACTTTTCGTTCATTTTTAGCCACTTATGTCATTTTTCATAGAGACGAGAAAGTGTTAAGTAGAATAAAAAAGAGTTAAAGCAAGTGTAGGCGAGATGGTCTAGTGGTAAGGACAAATTGTTGCAAGTGCGTGAAGCCAGGTTCAAGTCGTGGTTGTACCAAGAGCATTTTAATGCCGGGCGTCGTTGTTAATTAATTCGACCCGAGACGAGAAAGAGTTAAGTAGAATAAAAAAGAAGTTAAAGAAGTGTAGGCGAGATGGTGTAGTGGTACGTGCAAAGTGTTGCAAGTGCGTGAAGCTATAGGTTCGAATCCTGCTGTAGTCAAAAAGCATTTAATGTCAGGCGTCGTTGTTAATTAATTCCACCCGAGACGAGAAAGAGGTAAGTAGAATAAAAAAGAAGTTAAAGCACGTGTAGGCAAGATGGTCTAGTGGTAAGGACAAATTGTTGCAAGTGCGTGAAGCCAGGTTCAAGTCGTGGTTGTGCCAAGAGCATTTTAATGTCAGGCGTCGTTGTTAATTAATTCCACCCGAGACGAGAAAGAGTTAAGTAGAATAAAAAAGAGTTGAAGCAAGTGTAGGCGAGATGGTCTAGTGGTAAGGACAAAGTGTTGCAAGTGTGTGACCCCAGGTTCAAGTCGTGGTTGTGCGAAGAGCATTTTAATGTCAGGCGTCGTTGTTAATTAATTCCACCCGAGACGAGAAAGTGTTACGTAGAATAAAAAAGAAGTTAAAGAAGTGTAGGCGAGATGGTCTAGTGGTAAGGACAAAGTGTTGCAAGTGCGTGAAGCCAGGTTCAAGTCGTGGTTGTGCCAAGAGCATTTTAATGCCGGGCGTCGTTGTTAATTAATTCCACCCGAGACGAGAAAGAGTTAAGTAGAATAAAAAATAAGTTAAAGCAAGTGTAGGCGTGATGGTCTAGTGGTAAGGACAAATTGTTGCAAGTGCTTGAAGCCAGGTTCAAGTCGTGGTTGTGCCAAGAGCATTTTAATGCCGGGCGTCGTTGTTAATTAATTCCACCCGAGACGAGAAAGAGTTAAGTAGAATAAAAAAGAAGTTAAAGAAGTGTAGGCTGAGATGGTCTAGTGGTAAGGACAAAGTGTTGCAAGTGTGTGAAGC